AAAGAAATAAATAAATAAAGGGAAAAAATCTAGAAATAAAATAAATATTTGACAAAAGTAGAGAGAAAGTAAAGAAAACAATGAATCAATTAAAAGAGAAAAAAACAAACGAACCTAAGAATCATTGATGTACAAAATTGACTGAATAAGGATACTAAAAAATATTACAACTAACATACTTGACCAAATGACCAAAGATAGAGATTTATGGTGGGAAATGCTTCTTTGCCAGTCCGATAACTTTTCAGTTACCACTCTTACGTCTTTTATAGTACTCTGCTTAATCCATTCTTTCTCTTACTTCCATAAAACAACCTCATTCAGTAACCCTCTATCTTGAGTGGCTCTTGGGCTTTGGATTGGGTGAATAATTAAAAAATAATTTTTAGTTTTTATATCTCAATTTAATATAAAGTACTGATTTGGAATCTTATTTTTCTTTTCTCTCGAAAATGTTTTTCACATTGTTAAGTTCTCCGAGAAATGTCTTCAATTTTCTCATTTGCATTGGGGGGAGAGAGAAAAAGAGAAAGAGAGAGAGGGAGATAGAGAGAGGAGAGAGAGAGAGAAAGAGTGTCAGATGCCTTCGAATAACAGTCGCACTAATAGTACTTGCTTGTTAATACTAGCTCGAAAAGTAACCGCCGAATAATGATCCGTATAGAGAAATAGTATAGTGAATAGAGTAGAGAATGGCGGTCCGTATAGTAATAGAGGATAAAATAGAAATAGCGATCCGAATAGTAATAGAAGTTAGACTAGAAATGAAGATCAATTAGACGTCACGCGACTTCCAACTTATGCGTTTCCTCTATGATCACATAATCTACTTAATTCAATAATGGGTTCGCCTGTATTTGCTCACTGGAGATCTATGTTCAAACTCAAGTGTCGGCAGTGTCACTTTATTCCTATATAACAAGTTACAAAGGATGAGGAGGAAGGGAAAGAAAGAGGATGAAAAAGTTACTGATGTGGCAGTGGGAGTGATCCTACTTTTATTCATAGATTATAGAAATTGTTACTTCTTCGAATGCGGCCTCCGTGGTTCATCCTTGAGCACTAATCGTCAGTTAACGATCGTTATTTTTCCCGAATTTCTAATTACCGTTCTACTGGAAAATTGGACCAGCTAAACGGTCACGTGGTGATAGGACATGAAAGATGAACCAAATGAGTATATACTGAAGATAGGATATTCTGTGCCGTACCTTGGTATTATTTTTTTTTCTCTCCTTTTCATCATGCCGAGAATTATCTGTTATCTTTTTTTTTCTTTGTCTATTTACCTTTGGGATGATCTCAATTTCTGATATTACTAAAGCTTCTCTCTGTCAGTTAGAATCTTCAAAAATTCAAATTCAAAATTATTCGCCATCTTCTGCCTTCCTGAATTGTGTTCTTTTAGTGTTCTTTCCCTTCACTTGTGTTTTCATTCTTTTTCACCCTCAATAATGCTTTGTGTCCTAGTAGCATTATCGTCTTAGGGGTGAAATTATTTAAAATAAATAATTAATATCGGAATCTACTGCTTCTAGTTGTTCGAATAAATCGATTCTTTTCCAACCCCAATACATGCATAACATCACCGTATTTACATGATGACCGACATTTACTACGGTTGGTGATGGATTATTTCGCTTACACCACAGTTTATTGCATTCTACGTTGTTGTCGAGTATTCAGTTTTCATCGCCTGTAAACGTGTTGTAAAAAAAAGAACGTTTTTGTGACGCTTGTGTGGTGAATCTCGTACGAATATACAGTTGGGTATTTTTTTTTCTAGCGCTCATATGGGATCCGTGCATGAAGGCGAATAACATACAAGCTCAAATGATTTTTAATGCTTGATTTGGATATTTTGAGTATACTGCCTATCGATTTAAATCGGTCGCGCAGAACGAGAGGAATCTTTGAGGATAAGATTGCCTGATTGAAACTGAATAAAACGTCGTTGGCATTTCTGGCCAATTAAGATTTTATTTCCATTGATACTGCAAACATTTCTCATCACTTCTGAAGCAGATGAAGCCTTTTTGAACTTGGAAAATCAAGCAGTCTCTGAAACGATTCTCATCCATACTCATTTTTATGAGTCACATCAATTCAAACTTATTCAACTCGTCATTAAATATTCCTGAAGGGAAAAGAGAAAGATCGGAACACTAATTTATATGCGTAACTATGTCCTATGTAATCAAACAACAATTTAAAGTTATCATAGCACAGGACTTACTCTCCAACATAACACTTTATGTCCATTACTGACTTTACAATTGTTAGACTGATTAAACGGAAAAGCAAGCTTTTTACTAACAACTTCATCTTTCTTCCGAACGTGTGGTAATGAGTACAACCAACTCTGTACTTAAAATCATTTTCGCTACATTCAAGTTACGAATACAAGAGGGAATGTGAATAGTATGGAGTGTTGAAAGAAATGCTAAAGTATAATAAACGGGGGGGGATCAAAATTCGATTGCAATGCAAGTTCATCTAATTACGAAAGAAAATTGTGTATTAGTAAAAATTGCAATACAAAGTCATTACGATTTTTACTAACAAACATTTAAAGACTGAGAGAATATCCCAGAAGACACGTTATGGAATTGTCCAGTTGGAAATCCTTAAGAATATGAATAAGCAGATAGGAGGTGGAATAAGACTATCCTGAGTGGAAATATTAAAAAATAATAATAATAATAATAATAATAATAATCGCCGTGGTTGGTGACGCTTATTCGGGACTCGAGAATATTTTAAATTTCGTTAACCATGTCTGCATTAAAAAAAAGATGGAGTTTAAATGCTGAATTTCATTAGAAGCAATAAAATAAAATAATGGACTTTTTTTTTTCTTTTTTTTTTACAATGACGTTCACCCTGTACAAGTCCCAAGAGCAACTCAAAGTAGAAGATTACAGAGTAAGAGGCACAGTTTATGCGGATATGTGAAAAAGATAACGGTTAACCCTAGAATTGAAGAGGTTAAGATTGTAGTGATCGGGGAAGTATCCTCTTGGGAGTCGGTTCTACAAAGTAGTGATTCGTGGGAAGAAACTACATCAATGGAACTTACATCTCACCAATGGAATAAAAAGGGAATGAAGCTGTTTAGCTTCAATGTACGTAGTATGGCGGGACTTAGTCATGAAGGTCAGTGCTGGTGGAACTAACATGGAAATAACAATAGAGCAGCGAACGGCTTGCGTCGTTTCGTCTTTGAGAAAGGTTTTTTTTTCTCAGGTTATTCCATTACATCAGATTTCTATTTTACAATGGCGTTCACATTGTACAAGTCCCAAGAGCAACTCAAGGTAGAAGATCACAGAGTAAGAGGCACAGTTTATGCGGATATGTAAAAAAGATAACGGTTAACCCTAGAATTGAAATGGTTAAGATTGTAGTGATCGGGGAAGTATCCTCTTGGGAGTCGGTTCTACAAAGTAGCGATTCGTGGGAAGAAACTCGAGTAGAACTTACATCTCACAAATAGAACGAAGATGCTTCGATATAATGTATGTGGCATGGCGGGTCTTAGCTGTAAAGTTTAGAACGAGTGGAACTAAGGAATGTAGTTCGTCTGTACATTTTTCACGGGAATAACAATAGAGCATCGAGAATCGTGCTACGTTTTGTCTGTGGGAATCGGGTTGTGGAGAGGAAAATAATTCATCACCCACGAGGACGCGGAGTCGCTTTTCGACTGCAAAGTGATGACTGAGCATCTCCTGTCCATATATAGTCTAGAGTTTTCAGAATAAACATGAACTTATACTAGATTAAATAACTTCAACCGAACAAAACGAAACGAAAGAAAAAAAAGAAAGAAAAGAAAAATGAATCTAAGCCAGGCAGTCAATTATCACCAATGATTTATATTTTAAACGGAGACATTTTACGAAGTTTGTCTGGAATACATCCAACCATTTAAGGCTAACAAAATGAAAAAAAAAAAAAAAAAAACTGTTTAGGATTTAGGACAGTGGCATCTTTGTTTTCTTGAATGTATTCATCTTGGGCTTTAAAATACTAATTTCAATGTAATTATCAAAACAGTCTACAAATTTGTCCCTAGGGATCACCATCAGCTGTCTCATTGTGATCTTTCTTTAATCCCATCCACAGCCTGAAATATCTCTTTCAGTAGCGATTTTAGCTTTGGAAAAAGTAAGAAGTCTCAAGGAGACAAATGCAGATATTAGGGAAGAGTAGCAGACTTGGGTGTGTGGCAATGTTTTACCAAAAAACGCTCGAACGAGACATGAAAACTGCGTCGGCATGTTATCGTGTTGTATGCAATGGTCACACAGTACACAAACTCACTCAATGGCGTCTCGCTGCTGACTGAAAAACTACCCGAGATTGTTTTTTCACATATGTCAGTGTTTTATTGGTCCTCGAGTTATTTAAAATAGCTTGATAATTTCCGGACAGAAAACGTTTGTGGAAAAATTCAATGAAAAAGATACAAGGTTAATTTAAAGTCTCTATTGGTCAGCAGAATGATCTGGACAGGGAGAAATGCAAGAATACGAGAGACGAATTGGAGAACAGCTGTTAATTGGATGTATAAATAATGTTGAACAGTTACGTAATATCAATCCTTGCATATGGCGAGGAATGCTGGACAAATTTCCTCACAGAGGAGGAAGAGACTTGAGGCAACAGATGTGGTTCTACAGAAGGATGCTAAGAATACAATGGACTGAAAATGTTAGCAACGAGTAAATTTGAAGGGAAATTGAAACAAAAAAGACACTTATACTTAAAATTAGAAGGGAACAGTTGAAATTTTGAGGAAATGGTACTTGGAAAATATGACACTCACATGAAATATTGAAAGCAAACGAGAGAGAGGGTGACAGCGAGTAAACTACCAAATATGCACGTTCAAATGGCTGGGAGGTATACTAAAATGACAAATTTTAGTAAGAGTTACAAAGGATAGGACGTTAAGAAAAGCCATTATCGCCAATGTCCCGAAAGAAACACGGTACAAAGAAGAAGAAGAAGAAGAAGAAGAAGGGGAATGAGGAAGAGAAGGAGGAGGAAGAGAAGAAAAGGTGAAGGAAGAGAAGAGGAGGAAGTGAAGAAGAAGGAGGAGGAAGAAGGAGGCGGAGGCGGAGGAGAAATAGAAAAAAGAATGCGATAAGGCGACTGGGAGAATTATGAGTCATATTTTCAATTTTCTTCGACTCTGAAGAAGAGCATGCATTTAGTATATCTACTTCTGTAGAATTTCCTTCATGTATAATATCTATTTTGACATTTGTATTTCTTTCAGAAACTGTTTCCAAAGTAGTTACAAATAGGTCCTGTACATTTTTGTTTTTTTAAAAGAAATTATTAATGGAAAATACTTGCTTGTCAGATCTGTTATAAGGCTATGACCGCCGACAAATAAAATAAATATATAGTAGCGTATTTGCTATAAAATTCGACATAAGAAGCCCACTCTTTTATCAGATTCGGATAACAACCATTGGTGGCTGGAGCAAACTGACTACAAATGCACCCTCCGGGGTAAGTCGTATTAATTGTTATATATTGATCCTAGCCAGCGCGAGGCTAATAAAGAAGTAAACCATTCATAAAGGAGGGGAAAAAAAAAGACAAAAGAAAACATATACACAAACAGGAAACTGCTCTTCGAAGCCCCGGGATGACGCGATAAAAGAACAAGAAAGAAAAAGAAAGAAAACAGAGAGTGGAGGGAAGAAAGGGGATGAGATGAATCGTTCGATTTTTGAAGGGAAAATGTGAATTCGAGAAAGCAACTTCTACACAGCTAGTTCTTTTCTTCTACGCCGAAAGAAGCAGGAACAGCGGCTTCGTCCCAATCCGAACTTCCTGCAACGGAGCAAATAATTTCTATTCACTTGGGACCTCACTCGACGCGTAACGCAATCACTGATTTCTCTGTGATCGTCTGCGTGAATAGAGAGCCTTCTTTGACCCGGCTACGTCTTAGACATTCTTGTCTGTGAGCAGGTTTTAATTCAATGATACATTAAGAGTATGACAGTTTCAAATAAAAGCTACGACCATTAACTAATACTATTACTTCTAATAGACATACTTCGACTTCTAGATGCCTTGGCTCGTTTCATAATGACGTCGATTCCTTTTTTATGCAGCGCCGGTTTAGAGAATTAATCTGGTAAAACATTGCACATTTGTAAAATTCTCAGAGCAAATGTAATCTAAATAGTGCTATTTAATAAACCAGGGTTAGTCCGGCATAAGGCAACTGCAAGTTTACTAACAGCTAGTATTGCGTTCCCACGAAGACAATGTGTGACACAAGGTCGATTTCATGTGGAGCACCCGAGCGCGTATTCCGAGTCCAGAGACAAAATAATGCCCATAACCGTCCCTCCTCTTTAGTACAATAAGCGGGTACTACCCCAGGCATCTGTTCCCCGTGACCGTCACCTTTCAATATTTTCTCAGTTGCTCTCTCTCCGCAAACAGAGACACAACTGATTTACACTCTGCCCGAAGACAGACCCAACTGAAAGGTGATAACAGCGAGCCGAATAGTGGCTGAAACCTAATTGTCAGTCACACACTTAACTGACTGAATCGAGGTATATTATCCTCAGTCTTAATTAATCCTTTTTATAAACCATAATAATTTCTTTTAAATATTATGACATTGAAAAATAAAGATATTGTCATATCAATACCAGACAAAAGAAACAGTTTAATAATAATAATAATAATGAAAAGACATTATTACTATCAAGAATTATTAAATAGACTAGGTGATGAATAAAAAGTTTGAAACAATAACATGGATTGAAATAACAAAAACTTAATTTATTTTAGAGAAATGCAACTGTGACAGATTTTTATCATTAGAAAAAATAAAAAGGTTTTATTGACAGTTGAACGTATAAAAATATTTACCCAAGAGTGTTGAATTCAGCACGTTTACATGACTCCTAAAAGTGTAAAAAAATTAAAGGATCATGATAAAATAGCTTTATTAAAATCTATTATAGACTTTATTGATTGATTCAGTTTATCAATTGATAATATATCAACGTCTGTTACCGAGAGATATCACAATTCACACTCCTTCCCGACCTTTTGAACTGGAGTAGAGGTTACCCCCCTGTTTCCTGTTTAGGATTGGGTCTTGTCTGGAGTGAAGTGATTAAAAAAAATCAATTGATTGATTCAGTTATCGTCATGTTAAATATCTCAATATCCAATCTTTCTTATTAAATCTTATACTGAAAGTCAATTTGAAAGGCCACTTTTCTAGATCCCTCCACACTAAGACGGGTGTCTCCAGGTCTGTATTCTTAGAACTACTTTGTTTCTTATCTTCATCAGCTATCTTCCGGGTGTCAGCAGCACAAAATTCGGCATTTATGCGGATGATACAGCTATTTATTCATGTGTTAATAGTAAGTCCCTGTCCTGATGGAGTGTTGCCTTGACGTGGTAAAACGGCTTGAATGCTTCAACGACCCCCAGAGCTATGTTGACGGGGACTTTGGCCCTTAGCAGGTTCAACCAAATTCAACAGGTTTGTAGGATAGAAGACAGGCGAAAGACACCCTGGTCCTCCAAGTTGGGGGTTGTGCAGTAAGCTAACAACCTACTCACTTAAAAACTGGTTTGTTACAGAAACCACAACAATATCTTCAATGACATGGACAAGGAAGAGTCCTCCAATGTGGAGCGTATGGTGCGTGCTGGTGAAATGCACTGGGAAGCCAGTGCGCCGACAACTCTTCTAAGTCAGCAACCAGAATAGGAACCTGGAACATCAGAACCCTATACAAGACCATCAAAATAGCACAGATGAGAAATGCACAGGTACAAATTGAAGATCCTTGGACTGTGTAAGACAAGATGGAACGGAACTGGGCGAACAAGACTAACAAGTGGAGATACCATCATCCATTCTGAACAGGATGAAGGCCAGTCTCACATACATAGACTAGCGCTGATGATGACCCCCGACGCAATGTTAGCTCTGCTGTCCTGGGAACAGGCATCATCACGGATCCTGATACCAAGGTTCAATTCCAAAGACAGGAAAGTCACCATCCTACATGGTTACGCTCCAACAAATGCCGCAGAGGTGATAGATAAAGAGACTTTCTACGAAAAAGTCCAAGCCATCATGGACAAAGTGCCTAAAAGATATCTGAAGATCCTGGTTTTCCTACCCAGTACTGTTTGGCAGTTCTGATGAGGAAAACAAGTGTTATAGTGGAACACACCTATTCTATAGTTAATAGACTCTCCCACCTATAATAAGTAGTAGTAGTAAGAGTAACGAGTCAGTCGCTGAGTGGCTCAGTGGGTCGGTCGGTCAGTCAGTCGATGACGGACGACCGTTAGTCGGATACTAAAGTATCAGCGACCACAACTAGATTTACTCTGCGTCATACCTATTATATCAAGTTCCTAACGTTTTGTACGTCGAACCTATTTTAGTACCAACTTAGTACAAATACAAGCCTCCACTGTTAAATCACTCCATAACAACAAGAAAACACAAGGAATGGTTGACAAAGAAACATGGGCATTGATCACCGAGAGAAAAGAACTGAAAAGACCAAATTAACCAGACCCAAGACTTAGAAGAGAAACAGGAATTGCTAACACGCTATTGGGAGAAGAACTGGGAAGTGAAGAGAAGTGCGAAAAAAGACAATAGAAACTTCATTGAGGACCTGACTCAGGAAGCAGAGACTGCAGCCGTCCAAGGAAATATGAAACTCAGTTTCACCGTCAAAGAGCAGAATGGCAGTATCATCTCAGGGGAAGAGGAACAGAGAGAAAGATGGGTGGAATACTTCAAGGAAACAACAGAACCGCACCATCTGTTCCACCAGACATTTCACCACCAACCAAACTCTTCGACATTAACACTGGCTCCTCTACCAAGAATGAGATCACCAAGGTCATCAAATCTCTTAAGTCAGGGAAAGCAGCGGACCCTGACTGTATACGACCCGAAGCACTGAAGGCAGACATCCAGACTTCAACTGACATGCTGCACTCACTCCTGCACAAGATATGGGAATAAGAATGAGTGACTGAAGCATCATCAACGAACAGTCCATGGAATGGCAGACCCCCGTGTACTCAGTCTTCGTCGACTTCCAGAAAGCTTTGATAGTGTCGATAGAGACGTCGTCTGGAGACTGATGAAGCACTACGGCTTTCCACCAAAGTTTGTCACCATCATCCAACAATGTATGAAGATGCCATCTATGAAGTCATCCATGACGGGACCATTCTCACTGCAAACTGACGTTCGTCAGGGATGCATGTTGTCGCCGAAGTTCTTCCTGTTGGTTGTCGACTGAATAATGCGACAGGCAGGAGAACCGGTTTACAGTGGACCTTCATGGAGCAACTGGAAAGATTTGGACTTCGCAGACGACATCAGCCTTCTCTTCCACAAATAACATGTGCGGGTTCAATTACGTTATTAACTCTGAAAGGAGGAGGCACGGTGGAGTAATGGATAGCGACCAAATTAATCTATCAACGTTATGTTGATGATACTTTTTCTCTGTTTAATAACATAGAGGAAGCCGCTCTCTTTTGTGAAGCGTTAAATTCCTTGCACCCGTCTTTAGTCTTCACTATAGACGAAGAAATGAATAATTCTATATCCTTTTTAGATGTTCATGTGGAACGAAAGAATAATATTTTCATCACTAGTGTGTTTCGTAAAGAAACCTTTTCAGGTCTTTACACTAATTGAAACTCATTTGTCCCCCATACCAGAAAAATAAATCTGGTTAAGAACTTAGTTCATAGGGCTTTATTAATTTGTTCCTCTAGCACACTTCAACAAGAGTTGAACAAAATTCGAGACATTCTCATCAACAATGGTTTTCCAGCCAACATTGTTGACCGCACAATAAAGCGGAAAATAGAGAATTTCAATATGCCCCCAAAATTTGGCCCAGGTCTTTGCCCTATTTATCTGAAATTACCTTGGCTGGGCAGAAAATGTAAACTTTTGACTGATAAAGTTTCAAATGTTGTTTCTGCTACCTTCTTTTCGGCCAAGGTACGTGTTGTCTTTGGTACTCGTACTGTTTTTTCGTCTTTTTCCAAGGATCGTTTGCCCTATCATAATAAAAGTTCGATTATATATAAATTTAAATGTCAGTGCGAAGCTGAATACATAGGGCGAACATGTCTTCGTTTGGAAACAAGTATCGGACAACATGTACCCAGACACATTAAATTAAATTTAGATAATCGCATTCGTGTTTCGCAATCAGCTCACGATTCGGCGATCGGGCAACACCTATTAGAAAATGAGTCATGCTCAAAACGTTTCACAATGGACCTGTTTTCAATTATATGCATAGGCAGGTCCAAATATCATCTGTCTATTTTGGAAGCCATCTGCCTCAAATTATTTAAACCATCGCTTTCTAAACAAAAGGAGAATTTTTCACGATCGCTAAATTTATTTTTTGATATATGAGCAACTTATTTTCCTTTCTTACTGCTCAGGTTGGTTCATTATTATTAATTCATTATTTACGCATTTATTTTAATCGTAAATTTATTTTAATTTTACGTATATATATCTTCGTAAAATTTTAGACGTGTTCCAACCATACCATTTTGGCGTTCTTTTCATTTTCATTGTTTGTTTAAAATCATTTGCCAACGAAAGACCCTGATGAAGCGTTGGCCGAAAGGTACCTAGGTCCTGCAAAAAAAAAAAAAATGATCATACAAAAGAAATTCATTTTCTTTAAATCGATATATATATATATATATATATATATATATATATATATATATATATATATACACACACACACACACACACACACGAACATATAGATAGATAGATAGATAAATAGATAGATAGATAGATAGATGTATGTATCATTGGGTTAAGATTGAATATAAACAGTAAATATAAGAGAATAAATATTCAAAACTAAAAGGAATTTTCCTTAAACTGTGAAGTAACGAAAGATTATATTTCAGCATAAAAAATGAGTAATGCATGTAATAGACTCTAAGAGACAAAGAAAATGAATATACTTTGATGAATTGTAGCAAATATTTTCTTCAGTAGCATTTTTCATCATAAAGACTGATGTACAATTTATTTCGTCGGAAATTTTCAATTATTTATTTGTAATATATGTGGTACACTAAAAGAAAATCGTCATACTTTTTAAGGCTACACATTTTTGACATCAGGGCGTTGACATAACAGGAACTTGGTGGGAAATTAAGGAGACAAACATTTCTTAGAGTTACAAAGGATAGAAAGTTGTGGAGAGCCATGATAACTTACATATTGAAGGGATAAAGCTCACAGAAAAAAAGAAGAGGAATAATGTTGCCATTATCCTTTACTGTTAACATTTTTAAAGAATCATCAATAGTATTACTTATTTAATGAGATTGTGTAAATGTATAGTCGAATAGTAACTAGGAGGGATAGTAAAAGAACAAATATTGCTTTGACCTACGAAGGATAGGTTGTCATGGAGAGCCGTCATCACTAACATCTTGTAGGGAGACAACACATAGAAGAAGAAGGAGGAGGAGGAAAAGGAGAAGTATGTTACTATCATTCTTAATTGCTAACTTCTTTTTTCAAATTTACATTGTTTGGACTGTTGTCCTCAGCTTTATTGCTATATTCACGACGTTTCGGCCGTTGTACGCTCCGGCCTTTCTCAGGTGATTGAAATTTCGAACTGAACCCTTTATTTCGTCGACCGGGGTAGGTTGTTGTAGTTCCACGTGCCATGTCTCTTCTGATGAGGACAACAGTCCGAACACTGTAAATAATGTAAATAATTACAATACCTCATCTCAGATATATCGACAGATATTCTTTTAATGAATCTCCAAAAGTGTTACATGTCTAACAAGTTGTGTAAATGGATAGCAGAAGGGGTACTTGAAAGGATATAGCCATCAGAAGACAAATATTGCTTAGGGCTGTGAAAGATAAGAAGTTGTGGAGAGCCATGTTCATCCACGTCCTGCAGGAATAATGCTCATAAAAGAAGAAAACACTCTAGTTTTTGTTATGGCCTCTTGTTATCAGAGTCGGTGCCAAGATATTTACAAAATATAAAGAGCCGAAAAAAATCTCATCTTCCTGTTGGCGAGGCCTGGCTTATATTAGAACAGAATAGTTCCGACCTAGTCTAGCCCTGATAGTTTTTTTTTTATCAGTGTGTCATAATTTACTTCTCTGTAATTCCGCTTTTTTCTATGACTTCATTCATTCATCATTCTTTCTGTTGTAACATTTGTGATGATAACCAGATTACGTGATAAAGAAATGTAGAAAGCTACATTAAAAAAAAGAATCTTCCTAGAGTCAAAACAGTCCCTTGTCACCCTTCTTAACCTTTCATAAATAAACTGCCACAAAAGATTATAACCAAAATGCTGCAAAATAACACTGTCGTATTAGTCATATATTAAATGAAAAATAAAAAAAGGATGTTTAAAAGTGTATTTAAAAGCCTCATAGCATGAAATACAATAATATTTTGAATGTTATCTTCTAGTACTTGATGCAATATAGTTTTTTTTTTTAAATATAGTCTAGTAGCATGAAATAGTCTTTTTGTAATTATGTCTAGTAGCATGAGATGTAACATTGGTCGGTTTCTACTTGAGTCTGTAGCTAAACTTTGGTTAGATTTATAGTTGAGTCTGAAAGCACCTTCTTGGGAGATAGCATCTTTTTTAACGTAGGGTCTTCCCTCTCTGAAAGGATGCAGTCGGGGTATAGAGGGCACAGTTAACAGAACAATTAACGTTCGTAAATTAGCAACCTTGATATTGTGATAAAAAAGAAAAATGTAAGAAAAACTAGTCAGAAATTAATAATAGCAATGATTCTTGTTTTCCTGATTAGAAGCACTGAATCGATTAAACAAGCCAGATCACACAGTGATCTAAAAAGCGGAAGGAAATTTACTTTCTTGCGTCAGAGAAAATACATTTCTGATGATTTTATGGTATATCCAGTTAAATAAATAAAATAATCAAGAAAAAAAAATCCGACAATATTGTCGTTTGTTCTTGCCCCAAAAGCAAGCTTCAAGAAAGAAATAATATGCAAAGTCCCCACCCTTTATCAATCCGCAAGGATAGTTAAATTTTCTAAAGTAATTTGGCAAATGTATCAGTGAAGTACAAAACAGACCGGTCTCTTGAGAAGATGTCCGCAAAATAGTGAAATTAGATCTCAATATTTTCTTGCTCAATATTAGAAGGGAAATCTGATGACTGAGTAGAAGGTTAGTGCTTGTCTTCCCAAAGAAACAATTATTATCACGTTTTCAAGCAATCCCTTCCTAAATCTCCAACCCCCCGCCACACACACACACACACACATATTATATATAGGTGTGTCTACGTATGTTTTTATTTCTCATGGGCCTCTTTTCGGTATTTTAAAAACAACCAGATAAAATGTGGAAAAACAAAGAATGACTCGCACTAGAAACAAATAAAAAAAAGCGAAAAGCACAAATATTAAGATATAGTATTGCTTTCATTTCAGAGTTAATTTTACGGTTCAGCTTTCGTCCAATGACACGACGATATGCAGCAAGGCAGACTAAAATCTAATGCGCTTGTATTACAAAGTAAAAAGAGGATACCGCTTTTTCTTACTGATTCAGACTTGGATAGTTTAATGGTTTACAGAAAAGACCAGTATCTCGAAAAAGCGTTTCTTTCTTTCATTCTTTCTTCAACACCCCATGTGGTATCTATCTATCTATCTATCTATCTATCTAGGGAAATTTTTTGACAAAGTGGAAAAAGTTTACTTGTGACGCGTTTCATCCGTCAGGACTTCATCGGACTAATTTAGAGTCTTTTCTTTTTATCACAGTGTAGAATGTCTATTTACAAAACTGATGGAAAGAAAAAGAAAAAGAAAAAGAAAGAGACTCTAAATGAAGTCGGCTGGAAAAAAAATTCTAAAATTCCCAGCACCCCTCTGTCGTGCGCATGCGTAGTCATATCAACATAAGAAAAATTAGTCCGACGAAGTCCTGAAGGACGAAACGCATCACAAGTAAACTTTTTTCATTTTGTCATAAAATTTACCCAATACTGTTCTTGATATATAAAAATCTATCTATCTATCTATCTATCTATCTATCTATCTATCTATCTATCTATCTCGGTCTCTTCATATCAATAGATGTAAATTTGTACACCAATAATTTCTTTTTTGTCTATTTATTAGGTGTCAAAGAAAATATCCAGTGCCCTCTACATTTTTTTTATAGTAAGGTTCATCCTGTACAAGGCCCGGGTACCACTCGAGGTAAATGGTTACGTTAAGGCGTAGTTTATATGGATAGGAGGGGAAGATAACGGTTGACTTGAACGGGTTAGGATTGTAGTCATCGAGGAAACATCCTTTTGAGAGTCTGTTCTACAGGGCAGTGGTTACCAGGAAGAAGCTGAGTAGAACTTAATTCTCGCCGATGAAATACGGAGGGAATATGGGTGATTTACTGCTATGTAAGTGACATGACGGGTCATAGCCGTAAAGGCCAGATCTGGCGGAACCAAGCAAGCCAGTTCGTTCGAGCATTTTCCATGGTAGTAGCGATAGAGCAGTGAGAGACTAGCCATATCTCACCTGTGAGACAGAGGTTGGCGTGTGGAAAATAATTCTCCAACAAGCACTAGGAGACATTATCGAACTCTATCAAAATTGGAAAATGGCAATAGTATTCCATTTTCGGTCTGATCCGGCTCTTTTAAGGTAGAGGATATCACGAAGAGTCCCGTACTTACTGGAGCAGTACAGGGAGGCGATAATTTTACCTGCATCTCTATCGATGGATCGTATATAAGAGTTCCATTTGAGGACAGGTGTGAGTTTGAGGCCCAATATCCTCTCAAGGTATGTGGCCTCCTCCAGAAGACATCTGTGCATCGTGACTGGCGGTAGTTCGAAGTCTGATATGCAGTGAAGGAATATAACCAGTTTGGTTTTAGAGGCATTGAATGTAACCAGTCATTTTTTTGTCCATACTGGGAAGTTAGTGTTCCATCGGAAGAGAGGTCAGCTGTTATTCTCTGATCGTCATCTTTCAAAATTAGAAATTGAATACACAGTAAAAATCCAGATAATAATAATGATAATAATAATAATAATAATGATAATAATACAAGGACCTTGAAATAGAAATCTCGAAAATGTGGCATATGGGAACATCAACAATCCCTGTTGTAGTTGGAGCCCTAGGACTGGTTGGAAAAGATTGCAGTAGACTAAGGGATTCCTGGAAGTCCATGCCTCAAGGAGATACAAAAAATTGTTCTGACAAGTACAGCCCACACCTTACGAAGGGCTTTATCTATGTAATTTAATTTATTTTTTTTTTGTCAATGGAAAGTGTCATGACGCCATTTCTAACCTTAGGTCCGGGACCCGGAAAGAAATGTGTAAACACCAGAAATCAAAGACAATAATAATAATAATAATAATAATAATAATAATAATAATAATATACCTTTAAAAAATTGTACTCGCGAGTACAACGCCCACATTACGAAGAGCTTTATATATGTAAAATGTGTGTGTTCTTTTTTTTACAAAGATGATCAGTGGAAAATTCATAGAGGAGGGGAGGGAGAATATCAGTTTTTTCTCAGAGTGATTATTTGTTCTGGGAATTTGACAAAATGCCGATCCGTTTTCGTATCAAAGTTATATTTATTTTCTCATTGAATAATGAAATTCCTTCTGAACCTTTAATCTTCCTGATTCTGTAGCAATGCGATAACCACTAAGCTATCCTATAATATTTACCTCCAAAGAAAATTCAAACAGATCGTTTTAAACGCTTTACAGAAAAAGACGAATATCGATTCCCG